CCTCCCAAATGCCCTTTGGTTTTGTAAAACCATTATTTACCTACCTGCCTTCCCTTTGCAGTTGTCATGCACAAGCCACATTTATTTGGTGAAAAGAAAGCCAGAAAATGTATCAAAAGGTAAAGCAGGAGCCCTATCACAACAGATCCGGCGGGGGGGGGGCAGGGAGACTAAGGCAGTGCACTGAACAAAATCCCATCAAACTGAAAAGCTTGGGACAGGAATTCTGTCAGATGGAAAGATTAGGTTCACATAATATACCAAGCCATAGTTTGCTAAATAAACTGCACAATAACTGGGATTATACAAATGTGCTACCCCAAAACCAAGCAAACCATATTATGGCTTAGTGTGATGGGTGAACCAGGGCAACAACACTACAGGAATGGCTTTTAGATCAAGATTTCCTGAGTTTAAATCCCAATTCTTCCAAATGGGCCAGCCTAGGGCTATTGGTCTCCCTCATTGGAGTGTTAAAAAGGTAAAGTGGAGGAAAAACCATGATTCCAAGCCATTGAAGGGAAAAGGAAGCTACAATGTGATCAACAGATACAGGGAACCCCAGATACCTATTATTAGCAAGCTCCACCTACAAGGCTGCTACAGAACATCACCCACCTGCAAGGGGGTACTCCAGAGATAGAACTCCCAAGGGGAAGTCTGTTCGTATTTCAGCCAAAGTTTGCTGGTTGAACTGTTTGTTTTTGTAGCTTAGCCTTGGGTGACATGCAGCTGGGACTTGGCAGAATCTACCCACACAATCTTGAAAGCTGTGCTGGCACCCTTCTGAATCAGGCTACACATCCCCAAAGCCTTAGGGTCTCAAAGCCTCTCCAAGTTGTCTCCAACTTTCATTATTTTTAATATGACAGAAGGAGATGAGTATAGGGAGCAATCATTAATTGTATTTAATCTGATTTAACTGATGGTTAAATTAAACTAAATACACATTCATTTTTGCTATGACCCCACTTATCCCTGCCTCCTTCTCCTGCCTCTTTTCTGGAGCGCGGTTCCTAGCAAGCCACCAACTATCAAATGTGACCCCCCAACATGGTGCATCTCTGCCCTAAATAGCAATTCACCTAAGCAAAACAATGCTGGCATTTACAAGCTGAGGGGAAGGCCAATTTAATTTGGTCAGCTTTTGAGGATATATTTTTGTTTCATAAAGCTCCCAAATACTTTAGGCATTGGTCACTCTGAGTCTGTGGATGAGTGGTTTTGAATGCATTCTTTTTATAGTCCACTAACTCCAGCAACAGACTTGGAACCAGGATTATTTTTACAGAAATTCACAATAGGATTATTTCACATTTCCTCTTCTTCCCCAATGCCACCCAATGTTTCTCTCTGTGTCACTGTCCCCTAATGCCACCTTGATTTCACACTTTAACCCAACCTTCCCCAATCTGGTCCTTCCAGATATGCTGGGCTTGGTGCCCATCATCACCAGTCAATATGGTCATTTGGAAAGGCAACCTGTCCTTGACATTTAGCAAAGAAAATATGAAATTAACAGCAAGGAAAGGAGATAACATGCCACACATTAAGTACCCCATTTTTTTTCAATATCACATGCATCACTTAACACAGCAAAGGAGAGAACAACAAAATGACTTGATATGAAATCAAGCTCTTAAATCTACAGAAGCTCGTTGGTAATTCTATCATATGCAGTTAAATCTGCAATTATAGAGCACATTAAAACCCCAGGGACACGTGACACTAAAACTTACCATTTATCTTTTGGGATATCGAATGGATAAAGCATTGTAAGAATAGCCTGTTCCACTTGATTCATTTACAAAAGTGCAAAATCGCTGTCCATTATTTCTACACAGTATCATATCAGATCTACAACTGGGATATCAATCAGGAAGAGGGTCTCATCTGTTGTGGCACCCATTCTTTAAAATACCCTCCCCCTGGAAATAAAGAATGCATTGTTATAATTTAGCCACTTGCCAAAAATGTTTCAATTCACCTCCATGCTTGTGTGTTTGCAGTGATGCAACTGGGAACTACACATAGCCACTGTTATATTACTTTACGTGTTTTAGAGTGGTATTTTAAATGCATTTAAAATTTTTATATACTGACAGAGAATGCTCTACACAGCAGGTGACTTTTTTTGGGGGGGGGGTGCCTTCAAGCCACGTCTTGATTTCTGGCAACTGCCTGGATAGGTCCCTGCAGTTTTTTCAGCAAGATTTTCAGAAGTGGTTTGTCACTGCCTTCTTCCTAGAGCTACGAGAGAGGGACTGGCCCACCCAGCTGGCTTTGTGTCTAAGGCAGGACTAAAACTCACGGTCTCCCAAATTCTAGCCTGCTGCTTCAACCATTATACTATATTATACTACTGGCTGTGAGCATGAGACATAGGGAGACTATAAGTAAAGAATAACTCAACTTTTGACATTAGTGGCTTAGGACAGTTGGATGTGATTTACTCTGTTCAGATACAGTGGGGCAAAAAAGTATTTAGTCAGCCACCAATTGTGCAAGTTCTCCCAC